GCCAGCAGGTGGGCTGTCGTAAGCTATAGGGGCCGCAAGTTGGCCGACTGAAGTGGCTCAAACGAAGGGCCTCGAAGGGCCCTGAGGACCATGGATAGATCCCAGGTCAGGACTGTATAAGGGCGAGGCAGATTCAGTCTCCTGGCTCCCCGCAGAAACTTTTTATAGTTTTTTTATAGACTGGCCAGCCATGAGAGCATGGATTCTCTACTATGGCCCCCACGTATACTTTGAGCAAAGAAAGGGTGCGCCCCTTATCGAGCAGCTCCTGTAAGAAGGAAAAGATGGATGACATGTCGCAAGATGATGGGTCTTCATCCCGGACTGCACACCAGTCAGAGAATACAGACAACTTGAGGGCATAGAGGCATCTAGTAGATGGGGCTCTGGCCTCTGAGATAGTGTTGGCGACCCTCGTGGGGAGCTGCAAAGGCTCCTGGGCCACAGATGTAGGCTCCACAACTCTGGTTGGGGGTTCCAAATTGTCCCACTCACCTGAGAGAGAAGGTCCTTCTTCAGCGGAATCAGCCAAGGGGCTGACAATAGCAGCTGTACCAACTCAGGGAACCACGATTGGTTCCGCCAGAATGGGGCCACCAGAAGAACTAAGTATCTGATTTCCCTAACTCATCTGATGACCTGTGGGAGCAGAGCATTCGGGGAAAGGACATACAAGGCTCAATTCTTGTACCGCTCTTGTTTAGCCTGTATATGCTCCCACTAAGTCAAATAATGAGAAAGAACCAAATTGCCTATCACAGCTATGCTGATGATACCCAGATTTACCTAGCCTTATTGCCAAATGACTACAGCCCCATTGACTCCCTCTGCCAATGCATTGATGAAATTAGCGTCTTGTTCCTTCAAAAAAATGTTGGGCAATGAGAGTTGTATACTGAGGCAAAGAGGTCAACCTCTGCCTTCCTAAAGACCTCCTAAATCATCTGAACTCTTTGGTGGTTGAGTCTCCATTCCTCTGAAGACACACTGCCCCGGGATAGCATATCCACTCCCTGGTTCAATCTGCCTGGCACGTGCACTGCCTTCAAGGAGCGCAGGTTGCACTGTGCCCATAACAGGAGGTACAGTGCCTTGCAAAAGTATTCATACCCACTGAACTTTTCCACATTTTGTCATGTTACAACCACAAACAAAAATTTATTTTATTGGGATTTTATGTGATAGACCAACACAAAGTGGCACATAATTGTGAATTGGAAGGAAAATTATAAATGTTCAATTTTTTTTTTTTTACAAATAAATGTCTGAAAAGTGTGGCGTGTGTTTGTATTAAGTCCTCCTTAGTCAATTTTTTGGGTTGAGTCTCCATTCCTCTGAAGACACACTGCCCCGGGATAGCATATCCACTCCCTGGTTCAATCTGCCTGGCACGTGCACTGCCTTCAAGGAGCGCAGGTTGCACTGTGCCCATAACAGGAGGTACAGTGCCTTGCAAAAGTATTCATACCCACTGAACTTTTCCACATTTTGTCATGTTACAACCACAAACAAAAATTTATTTTATTGGGATTTTATGTGATAGACCAACACAAAGTGGCACATAATTGTGAATTGGAAGGAAAATTATAAATGTTCAATTTTTTTTTTTTACAAATAAATGTCTGAAAAGTGTGGCGTGTGTTTGTATTCAGTCCTCCTTAGTCAATACTTTGTAGAACCACCTTTCGCTGCAGTTACAGCTGCAAGTATTTTGGGGTATGTCTTGACCAGCTTTGCACATCTAGAGAGTGACATTTTTGCCCATTCTTCTTTGCAAAATAGCTGAAGCTCAGTCAGATTGGATGGAGAGTGTCTGTGAACAGCAATTTTCAAGTCTCGCCACAGATTCTCAATTGGATTTAGGTCTAGATTTCGAATGGGCAATTCTAACAAATGAATATGATTTGATCTAAACCATTCCATTGTAGCTCTGGCTGTATCTTAGGTTTTCATCTAAGATTGCCCTGTATTTGGCTCCATCCATCTTCCCATCAACTCTGACCAGCTTCCCTGTCCCGCTGAAGAAAAGCATCCCCACAACATGATGCTGCCACCACCATGTTTCACGGTGGGGATGGTGTGTTCATGGTGATGTGCAGTGTTAGGTTTCCGCCACACATAGCGTTTTGCATTTAGGCCAAAAAGTTCAATTTTGGGCTCATCTGATTAGATCACCTTCTTCCACATGTTTGCTGTGTCTCCCACATGGCTTGTCGCAAACTGCAAACGGGACTTCTTATGGCTTTCTTTCAACAATGGCTTTCTTCTTGCCACTCTTCCATAAAGGCCAGATTTGTGGAGTGCACGACTAATAGTTGTCTTGTGGACAGATTCTCCCACCTGAGCTGTGGATCTCTGCAGCTCCTCCAGAGTTACCATGGGCCTCTTGGCTGCTTCTCTGATTAATGCTCTCCTTGCCCGGCCTGTCAGTTTAAGTGGACGGTCATGTCTTGGTAGGTTTGCAGTTGTGCCATACTCTTTCCATTTTCGGATGATGGATTGTACAGTGCTCAGTGAGATGTTCAAGGCTTGGGATATTTTTTTTATAACCTAACCCTGCTTTAAACTTCTCCACAACTTTATCCCTGACCTGTCTGGTGTGTTCCTTAGTCTTCATGATGCTGTTTGTTCACTAATGTTCTCTAACAAACCTAAGAGGGTTTTTATTTATCTTTTTGTCATTTTCCTTCCAATTCACAATTATGTGCCACTTTGTGTTGGTCTATCACATAAAATACATTTTTGTTTGTGGTTGTAACTTGACAAAATGTGGAAAACTTTTGCATGGCACTGTAGTTGATGATGCGCACTCCCTTCTGTCTCAGAGAGGGCCACGTCCATACACTTTGTAAAAGTCAGAATGGGAGGACTGTATGTTAGCCATGAAAATAAGCATCTTTCAGATCCATCGATAAGAACCAGTCCCCTGGGTAAACCTGTGCGAGGAACTTTTTTAAACAACCGGGCCACATCCTGAATGGCCGCTTTGTCAGGGTGCGGTTCACGTGTTTGAGATCAAGGATGGGCCTGAGCCTGCCATCTTTCTTTGGAATGAGCAAATAGCGGCTGTATCATTGTTCTGGACTGAAGTTTGGATCACAACCCTGAAGCGGGGAGGTCTGTGAGTGAATTGGAGTATCTTTTTCTATAGTCTGCAGAACCCAGAATGCCCAAGATGGCTTCCCAGGCCAGAATTGACCTATTGGTAAGCCCCTCCCCTCGAATGCAGATGAGCCAATGGCAGTCGAGTATCAGTAGCACGGGGAGCGGAACTCAGACATCTGTAGGTTTCAGCGCCATAGAGAAACATTGGAAGATCCGATGCTTGCATCGTTTTTATGGGGTTTATGCTTCAAAAATGGAAAAATGATGTGCCTGGGGTGCTTGTAACAGTGATTCCAGGTATCCTGAGAGGATAGGCAATGGAATTTATTTTATTCTATTTCCTAAAGCCAAACAAAACAGAGAAAAATGTCCCAAAGCATTCAACCCCAATCCCAATGAAGACAAAAACTTTTTCTTGTTGTCATACTCTCATTAAGTTACAATTTTCAACTACTCAAGCAGAACATTAATGTCATCTTGTGCTTTAGCAAGGTATCTCTGGCTAAAACTAGTCCATACAAACCTAAATAGCAGACTGTTCTCGCGTCTTGTACAGTGTAGGGCAAAAACACATAAACGAAGGTCTACATTTTACTGTCTCTTCATATTAAACTGGTTAAATGTAAATTAATTTATCGTACCCTGCGATACATGAACAGTGTTGATCCGGAATGTTGTTTTCTGCGATCATGACGAACATAACATGAGGCTTCTCCTGCTTGCACTGTGATCTGTAAACCCTCGCTTCCAAATTAATACCCACAATATTTATTTTAAAATCTTTTATATATCCCTCCATGGCATATTTAAGTCCCACTTGAATGGTGGTCCTTCTGTGTCCAAAATTTATCAAAAAGATATAGGGACAAGGTTTTCACAATGACAGCTGTCATTGTAAGACAGTTAGCAACTCCGTTTGTTTGTCCGAGTTCGCAACAGTAACTAAGCGGGGTGGGGCTTACCTATAGGTCAATTGTATGGGTGCACAAACATCTATTGGGGCAAACCCAGCATTGGCAACAAACACACGCTCCAACACCTGCATCTGGACCAGGGATTGGGAGGAACATTCCAAGCCTTCTTGGAAAGAGGTCCCACCGCAATGGGACTTGGCCTTCCCCTTCCCCCTTTGCTGGCCTGGGAATCCTCTCTCTGTGGCTAGAGTGATACATGTGGGATCTGAGCCGGCGTAAGCTCACTCGGACCCATCTGCTTTGCCCCATAACTCCACTGTTTTTCCCCTCAGAGCACAAGGGGTGGGGTCGCTATCTACAAAGGAAGTGATCCGCGAGTGCAGCGGGGTGAGATACGTGCTCTTGTAATAAGAACAGCATGTCTCTGTGAGCGCAGCCTCTTCGTGGGCTTGTCCAAACAGTGCTCATCCGACTAGTGCAGGAGTGCTCTGAATGAGCCACATCCATGGCACAGCATTTTGCACCAAACACCACTGAAAATATGTAATATGCTCTATGCTCTAGTCTCATTGGAGAGCCGCAGGGGAGATTTGCGTTCTCAGCTGCGAGAACTGTCAGCACCGTAATCCGCTGCTGGGGCTCTTCTACGGCAAGCAGGAAGTTTCTTCTTCATTGGAGTCAGTGAGGATATGATCTTCGTGCTGAAGGAGAAGATTATGATGAATTGGCCTTTTTGGCAGATGCGTGGGAACTAAAGATTTTACTGCAATCAGTTTCACCATCTTGAATGCTGTACAGTAGCTAGAAACCGTTCACATGCACGCATTTGTATGAATGTTGAAGTGTGAATACATATTTAAAATTATTCTAAATGTATGAAAATTATTTTCTGAATGCTTAAGTGTGCCACCTGTGTGCAATTAAATGTCAAAAAAGGAAATGATCCTTCACAAATATTAAAAACTGCCATCTTTCCTGTAGGCATTTGTGATCTCCTTCACATCAGACTTTATTCCACGGCTGGTGTATCAGTACATGTACAGTCCAGATGGGTCGATGCACGGCTTTGTCAACCACACGCTGTCTTACTTTAATGTCAGTCACTTCCAGAATGGTACCGCCCCACTAGAGCCTTTCCACCTGGGCTTCCATGTGGACATCTGCAGGTACGGTGTACCTATATTAGGAGCTTTAAACTCAATTAACACTACATAAATATTTAATGACATATTTCTCCTTTTCCTCCAGGTATAAAGACTACAGAGAGCCTCCGTGGTCTCTGACACCATACGAGATCTCAAAAGAGTTCTGGGCTGTGTTGGCAGCCAGACTAGCATTTGTCATTGTCTTTCAGGTTAGTGTCTAATATCTAAAGACACATCTCTCTGAGATTCACAGTATCAGTTCAGCAGCTACCTTAAATTATTGCCAAAGAAAATAAACATTCTAAGGATAAACTGAGAGAAAAACTGAGAAAATAATATTTGTGGATATTTTGTGTTTTAACTGAACTGGACAACCCACTTGAGAGTGAATTTTTATTTTATTTTATTGATGAGATTCTTGTTAAGTTTGTGATATAATGAGGAACAGATAGGCTGGTTAATTTGTGCACATCTCCTCTCGTCTTCTGCAGAATGTGGTGATGTTGATGAGTGATGTTGTGGACTGGATCATCCCAGATATTCCCAAAGACATCAGTTTACAGATCTATAAAGAGAAGATCCTCATGATGGATCTGTTCATGAAAGAGGAACAGGGAAAGACACGGATAGAGGACAGCTACAAAGAGACGAGTACTCTGACGCGCTCACGCTCCATGTCTCACACAGCCTGCAAAAACTACTAACATCAGCAGCCTCAGAGTTTCTATCATTACATTCCACTGACGAACCCCAGACATGCTGTTGGGTCTAAAATAAAGCCTGTCGCCAGTGCACACTGCCTGAGTTCATATTGTACAGTTCTTCATGCTTCTTAAATGTAATTTGTGTGCTCTACGTGTTTTTTTTTTTAAATTATTATTATTTCCCTCTATGTCATTGTTCTCTTTCAGTGAATGCTGCTGTGACACATTCTAATGATAATAAAAATGCAAAGACCTAAACGTACTCTACAGAAGTATGTGAACAAAAACACTTCTGGCTATGTGAGCTCGATTTTGTGCATCATTGTATCAGATTCATAATGCAACAGTTTCCTAGCATTGCTGGCCATTAGCATAAATCAGAGTTGTTCAGCTGTGGTCCAGTAATCCTGGTGAGGTGTGTTTGATGAGGCTTGTGGATCTCAAGGGCCAGAGCTGATGAACACTGGCGTAGACAGTCTTCTGTGTTGTCTTGCAGGTCTATTATTGTCATGACAAAACATTTTGAATAATCTTTTTGAGCAAGTTTGTTAAACTACCTGAAGAACATATCCAACGTAATGAAAAATAGTAACTCTGTCGTCCCCTTGAGAACGAAGGTTTGTTAATACCACAGTAATACAAGATCAAATTGTACAGTACGAGACCACACACTTGCAATGCATTGGCCAAGCATTTGCGTTTGCATACTTGAGTATGTTTCTAGCTTATGAATTATTCTTCTTACTAATTGATTCTCTAAACAAATTGCATCACATTAAAAAAATTGAACTGTTTTTATACACTGATAAAATGCTCATATGAAGCATATCAGTTAATGTTACAGATCAAGGCATTAAAATCCTGAATGTAATGAACAATTTACCATTTTAACCCATAAAAAGAGCTGTTAGATGTTTTGATTGAAATGTGATATTTCCTTTTGATTTTCAGTCCTAAAGGTTTTGGTTGCTTTGTTTGCAGTTATTTGTGATTGAAAATGTCTACTATTCTCTATTTATAACAAAGTCTAAATATGGGAGAAGTTGTAAGGCTTTTTAAACAAGGAATTTTGAAAAGCCCCAGCAGATTTGAAGTGGACGGTCTTTATTCATTCTTCTGTATGTTCAAACTGTCAGATGGGCTCCACCTCAAAAAAGAATGTTAATGTGATGAGCCACTCTCTCCTCTGCTTTAATTCTTTTCAATCAAATGTACCTCGATATTTCATGTTTTCACTTTTATTGTATAATGGAATTGTTCTAATGCTTTTAATTCTTTTGTACATTTGATGCTTTTCACATTTAAAGGTGCTTGATAGAATATTCATTTTCTGTATGTTGAGCAAACATTAACATTGCGGAACATTATCATTTCATAAGACATACTTCTCATTCACATTGTGTTCATAGAGCGTAACAGACTTGAAAACCATAAATTCCATCTTAACTCCAATAATGTTTTAGATTTTATACATCTTTGTCACTTAGACTGTTAGATTTCTAAGGCATTTGTATACTGTCCTGAGATGTATGGCTTTGATTAACATTTACCGTTTGCACCAAATGGGTTGTACAGTAAAAACAAACACGTCAAGACACAAATGAACTGAAGGTGATTTCATGCTTCAAGGAACTCAAAGATCAAAGATTTTAAGGTCTTACATACCAAGCAGAACAGTCATATTGTTTTTTGTTTTTTTTCAACTATGATGTTTATTACTGCCTGACGTCTACTTAATTGTTAATACATATAACTTATATCTTCTGTTTGCTTGCCTTAATTTAGAAACACAATGTGCTTTAGTGAGTGTGTCACTGTGTATTGTAATGTAACATTTAAAAAAAATAAAGTAAATAAGGTCTACTTCAGCTGTCAATTTACTTTTGTGACATTATGCCATTCGGTCACATTTCTGTTAATTTATGTTCTGTTTCATGGACTCTTATTTTGATATATATTTCTGTTTCCTTTGCTTGAAATTTTAATGACATTTAAGCATTTTAATTTATGTCAACTAATTATCTGTTAATCATTATCTATTGTTCAATAAGTTCATTAATAGTCGAGTAAGAACTCTATTAGTAAACATATACAAGCATGTGATCTCATATTTGTAGCTATTTTAATATATATTATCTAATGTTCTGTTAAGCATTTTATAATGTAAATGATTTATTAATGAAAATTATAAAGTGCGGTTAAAATCATTTGTAGATTTAAAAAGTACATGATCATATATTAACTGAATGTTTAATAACATCTGTTAATGCAGTGGTTCCCAAACTTTTTCTGCCAGGCCCCCCTTTTGTAGAGAAAAATATTTTCAGCCCCCCCCCCCCCCTTTTTAGAAAGTCTCTTATGGTCGCCAAGGCTGCATTTATTTATTAAAATACATTAAACACTAGTGAAATGTCTCAATTTAAAATATATATTTGAAAGCTGAAGTTGATGCTTCACTTTATAGCACTGGCACCAGTTATGAGGGAGTACGTTACCCCTAAACATTGAAAAGATATTAGGATATTACGACAGCATTACTCTTAGGACATTGCAAACAAATTTTTTTCATGAATATGACTTTGCCTGAATGACTGAGCGCGTCCTCCATCAGGTTGTCTCTCTCTCTCTCTCTCGCGGGCGTGTCTTCCCGTGTGCTAAGCCTTCCTCTTGTGGATTTACCTTCTGTGTGGATATTAAAGATTATTTTACCTTCATCATCTTCGTGAGTGTTTTGAGTGCACCTGAGTGTGACTGAAGATCCGACAAAACAGGAATTTAAGCGGCGCGTTTCCCCTTGTTTGTTTTCTTGTTTTTGAAAGTCTTTTATTTTTTGTTTATGGATCGCCCCGAATTCCTCCTCCTCCTGCTGGAGCAGGGGGAACTTGCCCAGCTGCACATAACGTCACAGACATGCAGAGAGCCGCAGAAGTGAAGCCCTCCCTCCCTTTCCAGTTGTGTTTGTCTAGGTGTGGAGGTGAGTGGTGATGAACAACATACTAAGCTACCTGTGCCTCGATTTACAGCTAATTATCTTATCCATGACTCATGAGAGCTACCAAGTTATCTAAAGTTAATTAGCTAATAAGGCAATAGGAAGTCTAGTAGGTTAGACCAGTGCACGTTCTTTCACTGCATGATTCAGTTTATTAAAATGCATTTAGAATGATCAGTCCTGTCTCGACCATGGAGGTCATTCCCCTATCTCTGCTGCTCCCAGTGCTGGGAGTGGCCTTCTGGTGTGTGTGGGCAGCACACACCATCCCTGAATCCCCAGACTCCTCAAAACTCCCACCACCTCTTAATCAGTCCTCAACACCACCTCCGCTGTCCCCTGTCAGTGCCTCTGCTCACCCTCAGCCCACCATCAGTGATGTGGGATTGCCTCGGGTCTGCCAGTCTCCATTAGCGTTGTGGCTGGAAGATCCCTTGTCTTCGCCTCTGAGTCCCAGACTCAGTCTCGGCCCATCGACCCAGCGGCTCCACCATGTCTCCTAGCTCCCTCCTCTCTGCCGTGGCCCGTCAGTCCACCAGCTCTGCCGGGCTCCCTTGTCCCTCCGGCTCCACCTTGGTCTGTCGTTCAATTTGCGTCTCTGAGCAACATGACACTGCTTTGTTCCTGAATGAATCAACCGTTTAAATTATTCGGTTCAGTTGCAATGACTCACTTATTAACACTTATTAACAGTGACTTGCTGTCGCCCATTTAAAGTATCATTTCATTTTTTTTTTTATAATTTCAAATATCAATTCATATATTTCAAAAAAATATATGTTTAAAATATCAAAACCATATTAATGCATCTAAATGCCCCTTCTAATGCAGCTTCTGTGTTTCCACTGCATTCGTCACTGTCAGTCGGCCCCCTGGAGTTGCCAGCCATTCCTCCACAATGGCTCCCCCCTCCATCGGCTCCACTGTGGGCCGTCATGTTGGCTGCGGTCTGGGTCCCGCCTGGCTCCTCCTGCTCCAAGTCCCTCCTGTCCCATCCCTGTTACCATCCCAACTCCACCCCTTTGTCCTCCTCCTAAGTCCCCTCTGTCCCTCCTTTGTTGTTTTTATTATGGCGCGAAGTCGCGCCTGGCCGGAGGGGGGAGTACTGTCACGATCATGGACTTTTAGTTTGTTGTCTTTCCTCTTGTTTTCCTGTTTTGACCTAGTTTTCCCTCGTGTCTGATTAGTTCATTCTGTTCACCTGTATTTAGTTTATTATAGGAGCCAGATAGATCCTCTGCACAATGTGACTTTGCTGCAGCCTGGAGTTGAACTGCTGGTTTTGTCTGGCCAGAGGAGAACTGGCCTCCCGACTGAGCCTGGTTTTCAGCGCAATAACACACTCAGCAAAATATCATCTAATTCTCAATATTTTCTGGGATTTTATCGATAATGATATGTATATAATATTGCACACCCCTAATATATTTAACGTTTTGTTTAGAAAAAAAATTAAAAAAAAAAACCTGCCTGATTTATCTCAACTGCTCTGTATACCCATAAAAACACATGAACTAGACGAAATGACTAGCAACATGGGCACTATCTTCTCTAATACATTAGAAGCTGTTGCCCCCATCAAA